TTGAAAAGAATCAGTTCTTTTCAAAATTGCCAATGGTTGTCGCCGTCTCAAGATGACCCCAGCATTATTACTTAAAATAGTTATTTTTTTTAAAAAAATCTATGTATCTTAGAGTGGGTGCATCATTGTCATCGCCCACACATCGGCTAATTCATATTTGTTACTTTCCCCAAAATGAACCACAATTTAGGAGTTTCAATATTTGTTGGCTCAAAAATTCCTGTTAATGGATACTAGGCTGAAGAAGATTAGAACACCAAATGCACCAAGATTAGAACACCAAACTTTTGCAAAACTTGCTCTATTTTAGAACTATTTTTTAAATCAAAGATTTGAAAGCGGAGAATATATTTTAGTTATCAATTTGGACAAAATACAAAATTATATTTGTATAGCACCTTTCACGTTGGGAGGACAAAGTAGTACAATTGATTTAAACAATTGAATATCTACACTAATAGACAAAATGTTTGTGTGTCTGTCCGACAATAACCGATTTGACGTTAGAGACATGATTTGTAGCTCATTGGAAAGATCTTGCATGGGAGAGTGTCATGGGCATTTTTTCTGAAGGCTCGTTGATGAGCTATATTAAAAAACCTTTAATTAAGCCCCAAAATATGAGGTATGCATGGTAGTCTACAACAAAGTAGTGACAGAGGAAATCACACACCCTTTTAGAGATACATCTATCTTCTATACTAATAAAGACAAAATGTCTGTCTTTGTGTCTGTCTGCCAATAATCGATTGACGTAGAAACATGATTTATACCTCATCAAAAAGGTCTGGCACAGGGGAGTGTCACTGGCATTTTTTTTTTGGGGGGGGTGGGGAAATCTCTTATTGTTGATAAGGTATGACCTAAACAAGTCCATCACACATGCATGGCAGTTTTGCTTAAGGTGTATCGCAGTGTTTATTGGATGTTAAATGGTTTGTGAGTGGTATCACTGAAACCTACATTCCACATTGGATTCTTAGGTTGCAAGCGTAGTACCAGGGGTACAGTTAGTATTATATATACTGTGTACAGTGAGTATTATATATACTGTGTTTGTGTGGGACAGAGAGGGAGAGAGAAGAATAGATCTATTTTAACACTTTGAAGCTTATTTTTCCATTTGGCAGTCCCTTTAGTTTTGCAAAGTAGCCAAAAGGTGGCAGAGCAATTAGTGCTAAGGTCTCTTCCAATGTTCCACTGGAGACAGTGCAAGGGTAACCCAGGATAGATTCAGGTACATTATTTTGGATGCAACACACACTGAGGTCCCTTCAGCCTATTGTGATGAACAATAAATATCCCATACTATTAAAAAAAGACAGTATCCTAGCCAACAACCTACCATATTAATTGGTCATTCACCATTTGCAAGACCATGCTACAAACTGGCAGCCACATTTACCTATATAACAAGTTGCTATGTTTGAGTCATAAAGTGAAACGTGCAGAATGGTTTTGACCTCAAGACTGAAAGTTCTTCAAAAGTTTGCAATTCATCAGCAATGAAAAGAGCAGTTTCTATTTAACTCACAATTGATGCCTTGAAACAGCTGTACTAGCCAGCTGATCTTCATGTACAAAACTGACCCTACTAAAAGGTAGCATGACTGGGATAAACAACAGCTCAACCTCACAGAAAAAAAATGAGGGGTAAACTGAAAAGTCCTTACTGAAGAACATGTCTCTTCTTTGGTATATTTGAGGAACCAAGCTCGATAGTATAAGACTATTGATAAATTCAAAAAGATAGTCTTAATGTCACTAATGCTTAATGACATTAAGACTGCATCTTAAACGTCTGTAGATTCTAGACATGGAGAACTAAGTCAAGACGTCCTATATTCCTGAGCTTCTGAAAAATAAGAATATTGTAAGTTTTGGTTTTTGAATGAGAATTTAATCCCCAGTTAAGTCAGATATTTTATCTTTGCACTTTATGACAAAAGCAGGAAAGTCCACCCTCCCATAAATGTTTTAACCTCCAACCAATGAAGCAAGCATGCATTTGTCATCCACCATAACTAGACAAGCCCCTTCGATGTAAGAATCAATTCCCCAGAGGGTACAGTTCAAGATCCTGGTCCTCAACTTCAAAGCCCTCCATGGTCTTGCTCCCCCCTATCTCTGCGACCTCCTAACCCGCTACCATCCTGCTCGCTCCCTCCGTTCTGCAGGCTCCAGCCTGCTTCACATCCCCCACCTCATTCGCCCCACTATTGATGGGTGGGCCTTCTGCCACTCTGCCCCCACCCTCTGGAACTCCATCCCGCATTTCCCTCCACCTCGCCACCTCCCTTGCCACCTTGAAGACCCATCTCAAGGCCCTCTTCGACCATGCTTTCAATCTCCCTGCTGCCCCCGTGCCCTCCACCCTCCCTGACCCTCAGCTCGGGTCCGAAACTCTGTCTGTAAGCACCTTGAGACTTCCTCCTGATGTTAAAAGGCGCTATACAAATGTAATTTTGTTGTTGAATCACATATTACAGAAGATCACAACTACATGAAGTGCTTTACCCTTCCAGACTAAAAATAGCAAAACCTGCCCTGTGGAATTTGACATTCTACTGCCCAATTGCAGACTCCGTTTTAACAAAAAAATCACAAAGAGATTCTGCCTTCTGTTCTACCATACAGAACATTCAAAGTTTGAATCCCAGCCTTGCTGACTTAGTTGATCAGCGACGGGGCATCTATTGACATGCTATAATAAGCCTCAAAGTGCCCAAGTTCCCACTCTTTTTAACTACCCAGAGACCCCCTTCTTGAAATCAAACGAGGACAGATAATACTTGCATTTGGTATACTGCCTTTCATGTTGGGAAGATGTCTCAGGATATACTGTAAAATGTAATGACTGCATTTTGAGGACCAATTTGCACACAATGTCCCACAAACAGCAATGAAGTGCTGTTTTTTATTTGGAGGATGGTTGGCTAGGACAATGGGAGAAACTACCTTCTCTTTTAGAGTAGCATTATGGAATCTAATATCCACCTGAACATGCAGAGACGGCACCTTAGTTAAACATCTCAACCGAAGACATTGAAAGACGTCACTAGAATTTCATCCAAGTAAAAGGAAAAATAGAACTTTATGAAAAAAAATTATGAAAAATAAAGGTTCATTCCTTGAATAAAGTTTTAGGCATTTTAGACCATGCATCTATACCTGATCCTTAGTTCTCAAAAATATGTTCTAGTCCCTTGCACTTACATTCCCCAGCTCAATGCAGGACATTAAACTAATTATTAAGAACAGCAAAGCAACTGAATTGCAATGGTTCCATTTTTACTTTGTTGACCTTAAATACACTATCAGCATTGATTTACTTCTCAAAGAGATTTATGTCTGCATTTGTTTTCCCCACTATACATTTCAATTTAAACGGTATACTGTAATAATGGTCAGAGGATACATTACACCCCTGACAAGTGCATTTTTGTATGGTGGTTTTTCCAAATGCAAACTTTTTATTAATGTTGCTTTATATAATTCTAAAACTGAAATTGGGTAAAATGTACAAAATCCACCTTTGAGACTCGAATCCAATGGGACAAAAAATCTCCTCAATCAGCTACGCAAAATTAGTTCCGACAATTGTAACCTAGTTCTAGGTGGCCATACGTCCCACAGCACAAACATGCACTCATAAAGCAACAGTAGGGGTCATTTGGAATTAAACAAAATACTATATCTATAATGTTGAAGGGGGTGGTCGGCCGATAGCTACTATAGAATAGTTGTTGGGATAACCCATGGGATCTAAAAATAAGGATTCATACAAACTTAACGAAACTCTTTTTTCACAGATTCACTGCATTAATCACTAATTGTAGAAATGCCATCAGATAACATTCCAATAATTACTCAAATAACTTGCATTTAAGACATCTCACATAGAGAACGATCTCAAATAAAACAGAACGAACTGGATCAAAGTTAACAGCAAATTAAAGTTTACAAAGCACTGTTGGTTGAAAGGCATTAACATAAGTAATACGATTGTAAAGTGGCAGCAATGTATTGTTAAAATTACTTCACTTTTTTTTAAAAATATTGCCCTGAACGTCATCTTTTAAATCTTTCTACACCTTCAATACAATCTGCCCCTAACAACACATGGTGGTTGGTGGAAGGTTTGCCAATGTCTAGAAAAGCCATTAGGTTCAGGATTGGTGTCAGAATGAAACCCCCCAAAACGCACAGCCATGAATCAACCTCAACATCCTGATCTGAAAGAGATTTGGGTCGGTGGCCACACAAAAATAAACAATTCAAACTTTTTTTTTCGCAAACCAAATTGCGATGCAAACAAAAGGAAAACACATTTTGCCAATTCACAAATTTTCTTTTTTTATATAGTCAACACACAAATATTGGGAGTCCTGTGTGTGTGATTATATACATATATATATATAGAAATATAATGATAAACACAAGCTGTGGGGGGGGGAGGGGGGGGAGAGGAGAAGGGTAAATTTTTTTAAAAATGCTGAAAACAAAGGAATCGGTGCAATGAGTGGAATGAAAGAGAGTGAGAAGTGTCATCCCCGAGCGGTGGCTGTTTGGCTGTAGCCCGCGGTGCCGGTCAGTCGGTCGGACAGTGAACTCCTTTGCAAGTCCGGTCCGGGAACGTTAAAACCCTTAAACACACATTAAACAGGAACCCACTGCAGCAGCTCCTCCCGGGGGGGGGAGGGATGGGGGGGGGAGAGCTTTGAGCTTTCGGGGCCTGGACTGCCAGGCTCCCTCCCTCCCTCCCTCTCACTCCCTCCATCGCACACTCCTCCCCCATAGCAACAACAACTTGCATTTGCCTTTCACGCGGAGGAAAAATAAACCCAAACCCATCAAAGGCCCCGGGGCGGTGGGGCCGGGACTGGGCTGAGCCTGAGCCGCCGACATGACGGCGGGGCCCAGCAGCGATGGCTGCCTCTACCCCTCCCCGTCTACCTCCATAACCCCCTCCACCAACACCACCACCAACACCCCTTTACCTCTTTGTTTGCTCGGCTCCTGCAGACGGCGGATCACTCCCGAGGGTAACGTGCTGTACCTGGGAGACGAGGAGAGGGATGGGGGGGGGGGGGAGGGGGGATGTCAGAGGCGAGGCCGGTGGTGGTGGTGGTGGTGGGGGGGGAGGTTGGTGTCGGTTGACGAGGAGGAGGAGGGGAGAGGAGACACCTCACCCTCCCCGCAGTCAGTCAGTCAGTCACAGGAGGAAGAGGAGCGGTTTAAAGCCTTCACTTGTCTTCTCGGATTCACTCACTCACTCAAAAAGGAATGAGAGAGGAGTGGAGAGAGAGAGAGAGAGCGAGAGAGAGGGGAAAAAAAACCCGCGCACAAGCCGCCGCCGCTCGCGCAGCCGAGACCCAGGCGCTCCCTCCCTCAACCGCCTAATGAGTCTGCGCCATCTTACTCTGACCCCTGACCCGAGCCGCCACGGCGGGGGGGGGAGGGAGAGGAGGGGGTGTTGCCAGCAATTAGGTTTGTAGCCCAAAGTCTCCCCCCCCACAAAAAAAAAATTAGCCCAATATTATATTATTCCTCCTATTATGGGTGGAAGCGATTTTTGATTTAGGTTTTTGGTGCCTTTTTTAAAAAAAAACCGTGTAAGAAAAACGTCTTTTAAAAAAGGGGGGAATCACACACACACACACACACACAGCTCTCATAACAAAACAAACACACAAACCCGCCCAATTGGGCGTGAACCCGCTCCCCGAAGCCGGCGCTTTCCGCTCCCCCCGCCCCCGCACGCACGCACGCACGCACAACGGGAACGGCGCATGCGCGGATCCCCAACCCGCCTGTCACCCGCCCACATGGCGCTCAATGTGGTCAGGTTGGGCGGGTTCACGCCCAATTGGGCGGGTTTTTCTTGTGACTGGGTTGTTCTTGTCCAAAAAAAGGCTTTTTTTTTGGTGTGTTGGAGGCGAAGCTCGTTTTTTTTCTCCCTCTTTGAAGACTTTTGTTGGACAGTTTCAAATGCACTAACCTACCACCCTGCTCCCCAAAGGGAGGCCACACGTAGTGTCGGGCAATTACTGGACCGGTATTTGGTTGACTTTGGGCTACAACCGTATTTTAATTTCTGGCAACCCTCAGGGTGCTAAACATCTGCCGCTTGAGTGTTTGACTCCTCACTCTCTCTCTTTTCCTCTTCCTCCACCGTCCAACCTCCACCGCCATCATTTCCGCTAGACATGTGCCTTTGCAAAAAGTTACAATGGTCCTTTAAATACTATTATTAATGATGATAATAATTTGCGTCAGCCTGGCTCAGATGGTGGCGCGCTCGTCTTTGGGTCAGAAGGTTGTAGGGATTCGGAACTCACTCACGTGGTCCAGGCTGACCCTGCAAAGCAGTAAAGAATGTCTATTATTAGTAGAGAATCCCGTACTTTACACTGTAACAAAAAAATCTGTGCCGTTTTGGGGGCAATGAAAATCACTTTAAATAAAAAAAATTGTCTCCACCTTTCATGCAGGACAATTGGCGCTGGAAGAAAGATAAATGATACATTTGAATGCTAGAAGTAGGTCATGAAAAATTACAATAAGTAGCAAATTTAAAAAAATAAATAGGACAGAGGCAGGAAATTAAACAGAAAGAAAAAGTAATAATAAAGATTTTCATTTCAGCTTAACTTAAAGTTGTGTATGTTGTATTTAATATTAATGTTGTATTATAATAATAAGTCTACCAATATGTTTGAATAGCTTAATTACTGTAATACTGGACCTTTTCCTCAGAGTAGCTGTGCATTAACTGAACATTAACAAAACTGGTCAGCCCATAGAGATAAGAATCTCTAGATCTGCCAAGAGCATAATGGTTAACCCCGTTCCTAACTCGCACAATTTGTGAGTCAAATTTGCAGTACACGTGATATTTAATCACCACAACAACATTACATTCATATAGCTGCTTTCATATCGGAAGGACATCCCAAGGCATTGGACAATTAAGGGTTTCTACATAAGCTGGGGAGTGGAATCAAGAGGTGACGAGAGGAGGGAGTGGTAGGAAGGTGGCTGAAGGCATGGTGTAAAGAGGAAGGTCTTGAGATGGGACACTGGCTTTTGGGTTTTTTTTTGTTTATAAATAGTTTCGCACTAATCCACAGTCCAAATCAGTGGTCTATGAAATAGAACACCAATGCAGCTTCTTCACTTTACCATTGAGAATGATGGGGGAGCTGGGGTGAAGGGAGAACGGAGGCTGCTTTCAATCACAAATCTGTGGGAACAAGAAATCCTTCCAGTCTCAAATATGTCACCTTGGAGCCAGTTCAGCTTCAAGGAAACCCCACTTACCTATCCCTATACCAATTTGCCCCACTTACCTACCCCCTACACCAACTTCCCCTACTTACCTACCCCCAGGAGGATCGTGCATCATCCCTATGTGACTAAAATCTTAACTCAAAGCTGTAAGTTTCAGGGTTATCATAATCCCTTGGTATGCATCAATGCTCTCTTTGATAACAGTACGAACAAATGTGCAAACAATATTATGATTTTGGCTTCATATATAATCTCACTACTCAATAAAATGTGTTTAAGGTGCATCCTACTACACAATTTATTAGATGCTTTTAGTGAACTGTCATTAAGTATACCTAAATGTGTGTCCTTTTTCACCTTTACTGTACAATACAATATAATTTACATTTAATAGTGCTTTTCACCTCCTCAAGAGAACATTTCAAAGTGCTAATGGAAATCTCTCAGTTTATATAGATGTTAATGTTTTCTACCATTTGTCTATATTAAAATCTATCTGCCATTCAGAAGCCCATACACTTAGATTATGTCCTTTAATTATTCTTAAACCATCTTAATTTTTTTAACGATTCTCTTTTCATAGCTGAATGATCTGAAACCCAATACCATCTTTATTTCTGCTCTCTGAATCCTATCCAGTGCATCTGTATATTTCATCCATAAATACAATGACTGCAGCATTGCAATACTATGCTTCACATGTGGTCACACAAAATATCTACGGAGTGCTAAAGCAAGAATAATAAATTTGTAAAGCGCCTTTCATGTCAGGAGGACGTCCCAAGGCACTGGACAGTCAGCTATCCAGACTGAGCCGATAGCTGTGATCAGGAGTGGAGGGCGGTAGGGGTAGGAAGGTGACCGAAGACATGGTCGAAGAGAATAATAATAATCCTTGCATTTGATATAGCGCTTTTCACGTCTTCTAGATGTCTCAAAGCGCTTCACAGAATATACTGTAAAGTGAATTGACTGTGGAGGAGGGTCTGTAGGATTGAGTTCCAGAGGGTGGGGGCAGAGGCATTCCTTCCAAGTTATTTTCCATGGACCTGTTTGTGTATTTCTCAAATTGCATTTATCATTACAACTGTACTATGAATCAAATTTCAATAACTTCAGCAGTGTATCTAAGAGAAAACATCAATATACTTAAGAGAAAATGTCATGCATAGACACTTTTGCATTGGGAGGATTGTCTCAATGTTTAGAAAATGTTTCAGAAAGGAGAACAATGTGAAAATCTTGACAACTTGCAAAAATCTCTATGTAAGTAGAAATTAAGAACATAAGAACATAAAAGATGCTAGACGAAAAAAAGACCAAGGTCCATCTAGTTTGCTTTCCACCTTCCTGGCAGTCACATGCACATATGTCCCAAACTGCTTCTGTACTGTATCCCATAATCTTATTTGCTAAAAGAAAACTATCTAATCTGTGTTTGAAAGAATCAACATTTCCTGCTTCAACCGTCTCCCTAGGGAGCCAATTCCACAGAAATTGTATTCTGTTCTGCTTTCCTGCTCCTTATGTAACCTACCGGCTTGGAAGCTCAGTTTTGCCCCTTAAATTGATGTAAGGTCTACAGAAACTCACATTTCCATGGACTGTGGTTCAGAATATACAATATTATGCTCACTTAATGGTTCTACAAGAAGTCTCTTATTGTTGCATTAAAGCTGCTTAAACATATGGATAGCTGTACTGTTGTAACATTAAACCCAAACAGCTAAAAATACAATTTAAATAAAAATAAGCAATGTAACCAAGCGGGAATTCTAACAACTCCACTGTAATTGACACTTAAAATGTGACACACTGTCTGAACTGGAATAGATTAGCAAGGATTGGAGTGGAGCAGACTCATTCAAACTGATAAATTGTGTGTGGACCACAATCTTCACATTAAAGAAAAGGCAAGATGTGCACTGGATCTCCCAGCTGCACAATTTCAGGGAGAAGATTGCAATTACAATCAATACAATATTCCAAGTCAAAAGAGACAGAAAGCATTTCAATGATGAAATATAAATGGGAAATATAGAAGCTGTAAGATGTGGAGCCCTCTAAAGAAAACTACTGGATGAGTTCCAGGCACCTAACATCAACCTTCTCAACCCTCTCAGAAAAAAAACCTTTTCACCTCTCTATCCTGAGGTTGTAATGGGTTAGGATGGAACAACCTAAGCTTAGAGGAACAGGTGAACAAAAGAATGCAGAAAGTACCTTTCTGCGCCCATGACCATACAACAACAAATTGCAACAAACCATATAGGATGGTCCATTGTCAGACAAGCAGCAGGAAAGCTTGCTGGAGAGTGTTCTCAATGATAATAATTCTTGCATTTGATATAGCGCCTTATCACGTCTTTAAGATGTCTCAAAGCGCTTCACAGAATATACTGTAAAGTGAATTGACTGTATATTTTGTGGGCGAAACACAGCAGTCAATTGCATACAGCAGTTTTTCCACAAGCAGCTGTGGATTGAGTGGTCAATTTATTATTATTATTTTTTTTGATGAATTATTACCTCTGGAAAAGCAATCCGCCAATTGACTAATACCTGGGTTCCAACTTACTGCTAGGTAAACAGAGGCGTGTGGAGTAAGAAAACTTGCCCAATATTTTGTCTCCCCAGGCATCGAACCCAGATCTCTCACTTGCAAGGCGAGTGCTCTAACCACTGAGCAAGAGCTCAATTGCAAGCATTGCGGTTTTAGCTGGAATTCTCCAGAATTAGGTAAGCAGGGTATGTCCCTTCAGGGAGAGTGTGCATTCCATTGCT